CCTAATAGCGATGTCCTCCAACCTAATAGCGATGTCCTCCAACCTAAATCCAATCTTGTGAAACTTGGTGGTTTCATGGGACTTGGTGTTTTCATGTTCTTGTGTTTAGCGTGCTCCGCTGCCAGCCCCACGGGCGCCATTGAAACCTCACAGTTGACATGGATAGTGTCACTGAGTGCCAATGGCTCAAGGAAAGTCATTGTCAATGGTTAATGGCTCAAGGAAAAGGGGAGGTGAATGGCCCCAGGAAATCTTATACCCACAGTCACCCATTGCTCAAAGACTTCTTCAATACCGATTGCGAGCTTATGTGACAAGTCTTTCATTTGATTCTTAGCAAGCGTCTCAAACTCATTCCATGCGTGCCCAGCTATGTGCGGTGCACATTAAATAATACATGTTGCCTTTAAACTTTGCCACCTGTAGCCACACGAATCGAAACGACAGAGACTTACAAATATATAGCATGTGTTGTGTTTAACACAAGCCCACGCATACCGTTTAATTTCGTGTGACACGTCCAAACCCTACCCATCGTGGCAGGAAGCTGTTACTACGCGGAAAGGTTTGTCTACATGTTCGTGTTTTTTAAAGTAAACACACTGAAAAAACATTTCTTACAAAATTGTTTGTCTACAGGTCTGTGGATTGCGGCGGGGCCACAGTTGAAACTGCAATGAAAGCGACAAAATCGAAGCGAATCGAAATGTCCAAGAACATCACATCATTCTCAGCAACGTGAAATTGTTTTTCCACTCCCAAAATTATTCGTGAGGCCTGAGTGTCTACTGGTGAAACACACTCAGGGCTTGTTTGGGTCCCTGCACGTTTCGTGAGGGAAACCACCATTCAAAGCAGTTCGTAAGGACTTGTAGCGGTCTCCCGTCTCCAAGTTCACAAACAGCCTCCACTTCTCGCCTTGCAGTTCACCATTCTTCCTGGTGTGCACGAACACCTGCAGGCGTTGAGCAAATGACTGTCACACATTAAACACACCCTTTGAACAGCAAAATATGTGCCAAGTTAAGTTCCTTTGCTTAGGACTGGGTAGTTCCAGGCATGGAGACGCACCCCATCTGGTCGAGTTTTTTAAAAAAAATGAGCCATCCAAAATCATACGGACAGTCCCAGTCCACAAAGCTGGCGGCAAACCGAACAAACCAGGCCTGCCATACACCACTTTCGTCTTTGTAGCTGTAGTCTGCGTTGGGACACAACGTGGTAGTCTCAGTTGGGGCATCTGTGGTAGAACCAGCTGCAGGTTTTTTGGCCATCTTGACTCTAGCAGTAGCACTCTCACCCTTATTCTTGGGAGGAGGCGTCGACTGACCTGCAGCTGCGGGTTTTTTCAGCGGCAGCGGAAAATTTGCACCATCATCACCATCGCCTTCACCATCACCACCATCAGGTTCACCATCACCACCATCAGCGTGGTGGCCACTGGACACAGCTGCAGCTTCGGATTTGGCCACTTTTGGCTTCGTATTTGGCACTGACGCCGCCGGGCGTTTTCTCAAAGCAGACTTTCTCTGGGGAAGCGCTTCGGGCTCGCTCTCCTCAAAGATTTCGGGCTGGTCTGACTCTGCGCGTGGTCTACTTGGAGGGGTCAGCAACTCTGATTCGACAGCGGCAGGCTCAGCATGCCCTGCTCCAAGGTTGGCTCTTCCCAGGCTAGAATCTGCGCAACAACGAGCTGCGTGAGATGGAGAGTTTTGGAAATCGTCGGCATCCCAGGAATCTCCACGAGAGAGATTTGCCATCATGGCACGGCGCAAGTGTTCGACCATGTTCCTTGCTGGGCCCGGAGGAACAGGCTTGACAAAAAACGCTGCGATCATTGAAATGCGTTGTGTCTGACAACAACCAACCTCCCTGACAAAAAACTTCTTGACACAAAACCCTTCCTCTCAAACACAAAAAACACATTGACCAAAAACCCGTCCTCTCAAAAACATTGACAAAAAAACAGGCTGGCGTTCAAACTGTCGCTCTTTTCTGCTGTGGGAACCCGAAAGAGTTATTGCGCAAGGCAAAGTTCCAAATTAATCTTCAACTAATTGCTCAGAAGACTTGTGCTAGCAAAGCGCCTTAATGTTCTTGACCAGCTGGACTGCATTCACGAAGAGTTGGTGTACTTCAGCATCGTCCTGGTTTGGGTTCCAAATCCACTCCGACAAAATATCCACAGCTTGACCACACTCTGCACCCATCAAGGTGCGAAGCACAGGGCGGCAGGAGGCCAGGGCCGTCAAAGGCTGAGGTTCTCCAGGAGCGAGTGACTCAAAAGTGATCCTCGGGTCTGGCACGTGGTCCTGCATAGCCATGCATCGAGCCTTCAGCAAAGCTAATGCCAAATCGGCAATTGCTTGGGTCTCCTGCCAGACTCCGCAACGACTGACAACTTTCTTGCCAATCTCGATCAGGAGCTCCCATTGCTAGTCGAAATTCGGGTCATCTCCATTCGTCTCCTTATACATCGTTGCCAGCGCCGCCAAAGAAGTGGTGCTCAAGGGGGCCATTGCACCAGCAAAGCAGCGCTGCTCAAGGCTGAGGCGGCCAAGGTGGCAAATCACCGAAATTGTTCTGCTGCGGCAGAAATCACACGTCACAAACTTAACAAGCAAGGTGCAGAACAATTCTTGATGGTCAAGCAGGAAGTTTGCACACAATGTGCAGTGATGCCACGAAGACTCAAAAAAAACATTGAAAACAGGAAGACTGAAGAACGCAGGATTGAAAAAAGGCAAGAAAAGAAAACTGCAAAGTTGTGATGGACTGGATGCCAAATGTGCTTCCCTGTCAAACCCGCTAAGCGCTGGCCATGGAATGATTTTCTCTGAGCGCATGACCCCTCCAAGTGCTCAGCTAAAGGCCTATTAGCGCCGCGCATCAACAATCGGTGAGGCTGTTGATGTCCCAAATGTCCAAGTTGTACTGCACAGTTTTGCATCTTCGAAGTGGGTGGTGACATCGTCGTGGTGACATCGTCGTTCTCTTTGCTTTGCGCCTGCGTTTTAGAAACGCCTTGTACTTCATCATAAAGCTCGTCGTCCGCATAGCTGACATGGGCACGAACCACACCATCTTACAAATCTCTGAGCAAAATGCGCGCTGAATGCCGACAGATTCCAATATTCAACATACTCCACCATCAGGCTACGCATCCAGTGTGTTAGTGAACATTCATAAGTTTGCACGTTGGAAACAGTTGCAGCATTGACAATGTTGAGAAGAGAGACTGCAAACCCAAAAACAAAGTGGGAATGAGATCTGTCGCACACAATGGGCCAAGCACGGCAAGTTTTTCATCCTACTGTGCCTGTGGCAGCCTTCCAGGACCTTTCAGCCCATTGGCCTTTACATCGACCATGAAGAACTCGAATTGTTTTCGCCCAGCATGACTATTGTTTAGCGGACCAAACGCAAACACTCGTTGATTTTTCAAACACAAAGAAGTTCATCATGAAAACTAACACGGAACAAACACTCGTAACTGTGTTGCGTAATCCTACTTTGGGGTGTTGAAGTGTGTTTGGAACTAACTGTACACTCAGCTATGTTTAGTATAGGCTTGCTGGGAGAGAGGGCAAAATCTGGCCTCACCCAATCTGGATCGGCACATTAGGCTGCAAGGTCATACCTTTCACAACCATCACATAGGGCTTCTGGATCTTCACGCATCCAGTGACTCTCTCAAATCGGAAACGAAACACCTTGGCTGCGACAGAAGACCTCTCGATCTCGTCAATGCTCTTTGCGAAAAAGCTCTTTGAGCTGGACCTCTCAGAAGTATTCAAGGGCTTGTACTTGTGAGGATGCTTCAAGCAAATATTGAAAGTATCGGCAGGCCCCTGCCCCGAGCGAGCGCATTCGCTGTAGCTGATTTTGTATTCGGTGATGCGCTTGACCCTTTCCAAAAGGGTCAAGAACTTGTAGAGCGTCATCACTTCTTGGTGGGTTTGCTCCGGCAAGATGCTGCTGCGGTCCACCTGGACCAGGGTCTTGTCCCCCAGAGTCCACGCAAGCGACACTCCTGGACCGTCTTCTTCTTGAGGCACATACCTGGGAGGTTCAAGTCTCTTAAAGTTTGTCGTGTACATAAGTCTCTCATTTCCCTATTCTTTGGTTGTCCTGCTTCCCATCCCATGTTGGAACAGGAATTATTTCGGCGGCTTGCTGCCTTGAAAAAATGGAACCCGTGTCATTGCAACTAGGCCCTAGGTCTTGCATCGCAATAGTTTTTGAGCCCCTGCTTTTTTGTTATACAGAATGTGATAGCTGTGATATCAACTGATTATGTCTCACTTTGCTATTTGCAAAAAAACCTTTTTGTTTGCGGTATCGGGTCACCTACAACAGCATATGATTATATGCTTTAAACAATGCATCAACATCAAACACCTTCGTTTGTCAGCTGTGCTGCTTTCCTGATCCAAAACCACCAATGATTGCAAAACGTGGGATTGATTTCTGCTTCTCGGCAAGCAAAAAGAGCTTGTTGGACGCTGTCTTCAACAGCTCAACTCCGGCCACCTCCGAGCTCACCCTGACAGCCACCGGGTCGGCAGCTTCAAGCTTTGCCAAAGATTCAAAGGACACCAGCTCTGGCTCTGGACCTTCCTCTACCTCTGGAGGAGGTTCATCATCCACCTCGGCCATTGCTGAAGTGGAAGAAGCGCCGGCGGCAGATTGTTGAATCACACTGGCAAGCATTCCCTCGTACTTCTCAGTATGCTGATTGCTCAACTCGAGGAAATCGGCCTCGTACTTCTCACCCTTCGACTTCCACGTGCGCACCTGGTCTGGATGAATCACAATCTTCGTTCCGTCCCTCACCAGAACTTCGAGCTTCATGGAGTCCACGGATTTCACAGCATCGGCGCCAGGAATCTCTTTCATTTCCTGCTGCCAGAGAGTCAAGGTAAAACGCACACAATATGCTCAAGCTGAACTATATCGGGTCCAGTCTAGGGGCGTGATTGGAAAATACATGTGAACATGCCCGTCCATGCTCCTCATCTGTAAGCGTCACATCAGCATCTTGGAATTTCTTTCCATCAAACGATATTCGTTTCGAGAGCCACCCATCCAACAACTCACGAGATACTCTGGTACGACCATATTGGACTCCAATCTTTGAGTCCAATGTGTGAAGGCTCAAATAGTACAGGTTTTCCCAATTGTACCCTCCACCTTCTCCGCTCAAAGTTCCCTGAAGTCTCAAAGCCAGCACCTCGGGTTAAATGACAGGCGTTCAAGGTCTCAAAGAAGCCATTGAAGAAAACTGGAACAGAATGATAGTTTAATGTGGATTTCACTCTGGGTCCCTGCGAACATATCAGGCTCAATTTCAAGACGCGACTAAAAACATTCTTTCCACATGCAAGGGACTGCGGCGGCCAATTCCTCGACATAGCCAGTCAAATTAACTATCAGAACAGGCCCTCGCACTGATGTGTGTCTGAAGAGGCTCTCGAGGATCATCTGAAGGCGCCCTTGTCCTTTTTGAGCAGCAGTTTGCTCTGGCGAAGGTCGTGTGCGGTCTGCGAGCTTGATGTCTGACTCTGCAGATGCGCCCTCTGGGAGTAGTAGTGCATTGGAGCGAGGAAGCAAAGAGCAGGGCGCACCACCCTCAGATTCGGACCGGCCGACTGGCCGTCCACAAATGGCCAACTCAGAATCGAGCCACACGTTGTCCGTCTTTACCTCATTGGATACCACTATTCGACCAGCGCCCCATCTGCGCATAGTAGACTTGGCCTCACCACGCGCATCCCTCGTGTAGAGGTCAATGAAAGGCCAGTCTGGCAATTGCTTCAATCCAAAAAGCGCCTCCATGATCATCTTCTCTTCATCCCAAAGCCCCCTCAAGGATGACTCCTTCGGTAGGTCCGGTGTGAAAATCAAGCAGCAATTTTTCTTCCCATCGCCCATACTGTTGCACAGGGACACGCCCAGTGCAAGGCTGTCTGCCTTGCTCGACTGTCGGGCACCTGGCGCGTTGAAGTCTGCATATCCAACGACGTGCACGTCATCGACACTGACTTTGGCTTGGGCAGCCTCAACGCGCTCCCCCCAGGCTCTTACCAAAACAGCTCACGCAAATGCTCTGCACATTCGAACGAACACAATATGCATGATTTGCATTTAACCTTAGATCTTAAACCTGTTCCCAACAGTTTCTTTCTTTGCGTAATGTGTCAGTACACTCATCAGCCATATGTGTATTATAATTTGATTGCGGTGCAAACAAATGAACACAGGTTCACACAAGCCAAAGGTGCCACATGCTGCTTCATCTTCGAAATCTCACCTGGTGCATGCTCCATTTTGTCCAAGGAAAGGACTCGAAGATAGCACTCCTGATTCAATTCACAAGCAGTATATCAAAAGTTTAGAATTTCTTTTGAAAAGCCGACATGGATTGAACTCTTTTGTTGCTGCCATTCACCCTACATACGTGAAACTGGTTGGTTCAACTGACTGGCATCTGTCCTGATATCCCCTGCAGGCCGCCTCTCCCTCAGCCGCAAGTCTAGTCCGGTGCGCCACCTGTTTGGCGTGAAGTCGCTGCCTGACAAGGCGGGGAGCAGACTGGACCGTTTCCATTTTGGAATGATCCCGCTTGAGCGCACCACAGAAATAGCTCCACTGTGCTGCGTCCACATCTGCTTTCTGGGCTAAAGTCTCCTCGATCTTTTTATTCTCAGCATCGAGCTGGTCCCTTTTCGCATTCTCTTGCTCGGATACCAACATCGACATCGAGAACCGGGAGGGTCTCGACATCAAAAGGCTGTGAAGGTCCCCATCTCGCTTGCTGTTGGACACCACATCCTTTCTGAATTCTTCAAAGCTTTCCGGACTCATTCTTGAACGTAAATGAGGCATCAGCTGGTTAGCAAGGACCAGCATATTCCGGGTCTTGAGCACCTCCTCACCTCCCATTCTATATTTTTTTTTCATAGCCACCGGAAAGGAGGACGTCATCCGCTCCCAGTGTGTCACGATCCTCTGGAACAACATAACTTGCGCTGACTCTGTCATAGGGAGCGACCAATCAATTGAAATGCTGGGTTCATGAGGCAAAGGCGTTGGTGTAGAATCATCTTCCAGTGGAGGTCCTGATTCCAATGGAACAGAACTGCCCATGAACGCATACTGCATGGAGCCGAAGTTTTCTCCGAACGGCCCCAGGTTCCACGCGATGTCGTGCGTAGTTGAGACCAAAATCCCAAAGGCTTCAGAGCTTGTCTTGTTGAAGAAGTTCTTCACGGCCTGCTCACGCAAGAAATAAAACGTATTGGGCACCCACTGCAACATGTATACATGTCACGCGCAAATAAAACATAAAGTAAAACCAACAAATCATGTTTTCATATCTCTGTTACAAAAACCGCACCGTGATAGCTTTCCATTTTGCCTGGGGCTCCGTTTTGGGGGCGAAGGGGTCTACATTCATAGTTTACTATAATGATGCCCCAAAACAAACCCAAAATGGACCCCTTTGCCCCCAAAACGGAGCCCCAGACAAAATGTCTTGAAACTCAATAGTAAGAACCCTAAGGTGGACATTCAAACCATTCAATAGTTTTGCGCTGAATCTGAAGCAGGCCTGCTTTTTCCTTCCGTCAAGGCTGATAGAGCCGGTACCGCCTTCAGCTTCGAACGCTTGCGCCTCAGGGTGCTCGTTGTATCTATTGATCGCTTGGTCCAGGGTGATGCTCTCCCCCATTGTTGACAAAATTGCAGCCCAGGTCAAACTCGAAACTGGCTGGATGCGAGCGTCGCAGTTTTGCTTCACTATTCGACTGATCACATTGTCCAACTCATCTCCCTGACCAACCGATGCCTTCCAAACAGTTTGAATGCGAAGTAGCGATGCCACCAAATTCACAACCTGAGGGTGAGTGAAATCTGCCTCCACCAATGATGGCTTCTCGCTGGCTAGAAGCAGTGCAATCCACACAATGAATGCAGCCAGACACTTCTGGCTGCCATCGCTGAAGAACAATGATCCACATGCGAAGTTGCCTGCCTTCAATGGAGGACATGGAATCCGCACACATAGGATCTCCCCCTGGCGCAAGGCTCAAACTTTCATGACTACTGAAACCGTGGGGCCTTGGGGTAGCCATAAATGGCCACAAATAACACACCTTTTACGGAGAGCCGTCCTATGGACCGGTCTCCACAAGACCAGGTTCGGAAGTGTCAGGATTTCTCGGGTCATATGGGTTGGCATTGAGTACCGTGACTTTTGGCGGGGCCTAACCCAGGCCTTGTGGAGAGCCGTCCGGTGGACGGCTCGCCGAAATTCTGGTCCTTTCATATCCTGGTGGTGGCTACCCTGGAGGCTTGCTATGTGAAAGACTTGTTGGCCATTGTCATCCCACGCCAAAACTAAACTAGATAAGATCGACCGGCAAGTCTTGAACTTTGAAAGCACAAAGCACCGTCCTTGACCCTTCGAATTTCATTCAACCCCCTAAACCCCGCTGCCGCCGCCAAATTTTATGGGTGCCAAAACGTTTAGGGTTTAGACACGCTGAAAGTGACAGCTATGATACGATAACTCGCCCAGACCGATGACTCGCCGAGAAAATTTCCCACCGTAGACTTTGGAGAGCCGTCCGATGGACAGCTCGCCGAAGTAGCTTCCTCGCCGAAAAAAGTTGGAGTGACAGCTCGCCGAAACGCAATCCTCGCCGAACACTAAATAGACTACCCGGATCCTACTGGTGACTAACAGATTCCCAGCCCAGAAACAAAACACGGCCTTGGGCAGTTGGCATGTTTAGTTGCAACACCGTAGGCACATGCTCGATTAGGGACTGATGACTGATGCATTGAACTACCCGAACTGCGAGCCCTTTTTTGGACCATGTGATCAATCACGCAATCACGAGCTGCACAGGGCCATCATTGTCATCGTCCTCAATGACATCATCGCCATCCTCCGCATCATTCTCATGTAGGATTGTGTACACTCGGAAACGTGCAGGAGGCTCCCATGGAACAGCCGGCACACCTTCGATGCCAGTCTCAAAGCGCCTCAATTCCAAAAATCTGTACCTGCTCGGTCTTGGAATCCTCGGCCAAGTGCCTGACACCCAGCCAAGCAAATAGGACTCAGCATCCCGAGTGATGGACCCTTGGCTCCGACAAGCGGGAGCCTTCGACAAAAGATTCTTCTTCAGTTTCTCCGCTATAGCTCTCCGCTCTGCAACTCCCGAAGGTTGAGCAAAACTCACCCTCAGCTGGGCACATTTCTCAGCGGGCACAATGCAAATGACACGGAATGGCTCAGCGTCAGCCATGTACCTTTTCGCCAACAGAAGCACGTCGCTGCCATGCGGTTCGCGATGGCGGCCTCTGAACTCTTCAACTTCACAAGCGCCGAGCGATGCAGCATCCACATCTTGCCGCAAAACGAAGCGCAGCTGCCCAACCCTTCCTGGATGGAATGCTGTGAACTCTAACCAATAGACACTGCATGAAGAGCCAAAAAATGTAGACTACTCAAAGGGCAAACACCTTTTCAAAACTCTGAAAGCATAAAAGGACCTAAGGCCTAGTTTCGAAGACCAAGAAGGCGAACCCCAAGCATTGCTACCCAATCCTGCCAACAGGCTACCTCATCTAGTTTACAGCATTGGGTCTGAACCTTTGTCCGCTTCGCCTGTTTTCGAAAAATCTCAGACTCTGTGTCTGGGCGGGACGCGCTGTCAAGCAAATCAACCACGTCATTTGGGGTGGAGAATTCCTGCGGAGAGAGGAAGGAGGAGACGCAACTGAAATACTGGTCAATATCTTCGTGGCCTTGATTGACCAAAAACTAATGTTTCACATTGCACACACGCGGAGAACGCAAAAGCACAACAAAAAGAAATACACAAAATCTACAGGTCCTTTCAGTTAAGTTGCTATGGCCTTTTCTGAGAAAAGAACACGTGTAAAAACGGAATATTCCCAAAGCCACTGTCATAATACCGAAGCCTACTGCAAACTGGTTCTTGGCCTCACGATACGTATTGTCGCATTGAAGGTTCATGCCTGTCGGCAGCGCCTTCTTTTGCAACAGAATATCATCGAGGGTTCGTGCAACTTGTTCCATCGTACACTGGGAATCCTTTTTGAGGTCTTCATCAGCAATGAACAAGTTCAAAGCCCACCCGTGGGCCCACGCCCCCGCCACATGAAGGCAGGGCCTGTGCATAGTCTCGTATAGCTTGCTGCGCTTCTTTTTGGAGCGAGGTGTGCGGAATTTGGCTTGGTCCATGCCATCGCTGATGATGCACAATGTGCTGACATTTGGATGGCATCCCAGCCTTTGTTTGATGTCAACAAACCAAGAAGGCAAAAGTTACACGCGCTTGCCTGAATGAATCTTATACAACTTGTTGCACCTTCTAAGCCACAAGCAAAGAAAATGCCCCACAGAAAACCACTTTGAAGCGCGAAGGGAAATCATAAAGCTTGGGAAGTTCAAGAGATGTCAAGAAGACACAATTTTTAATGTGTCCTGTTGACCTCTCTTGGGTGAAGAGCAAGGAACATGCCATTGTTCGCGATCAAATTTGAGAAAACGTTTGGCTCATGGCACGAAATTGCCAATAACACTGCCTGTCTTGCCACTGCGCTAAACGGTGCCTCATGAGCTCCCGTTCCTCTTGCATTTTCGCCTGCATTGAGCGCGCTTCACGTAAGCGCTCCCTTGCCCGGAAGCAATAGTCACACTGGGCATGCTCTCCAGGTTTTCTGAAACGGAGATGCCCGTTTCTCAGACCGGGCTTGATGATTGTGTTTGCGACTTTCATGAAAGTACTATAAGATGACTTGCGGAGACCACGGGACTCGCAGAACGCGAGAAACTCATAGAACAAATCCGTTCTGTTTTGGTGCTGCAAGCACCTCCGGGGTCCACTGAATGTCCCCGGACCGATCATTTGACTCTCAACATCCATGCTGAAAGTGTTCAAAGTTCTTCCAATAGCGTTCACCAAGCGTTGCATGTACTCTTCTCTATTCACAGATTCCGGGTCATCTTCTGGAAAAGGGGTTTCGATCTGCTTGGCGCCCTCTTCCTTGACCATGTGCCAATGAGTTGGCATCACTTCTGCCACGCTGTGGTAGATGTGGTAGAAAAACATTAAGATGTGCTCCCAGACCTTCTCAGTCTCACCCCTCAACGTGAATCCCAGAGTTGGGTGCTTTGGCAAAGGCTTTCTCACCTGGTTGGTGAAAACATCAGCTCCATCCCGAAGCCTTTGGAGAGTCGACCCTCCAATGCCCATGAGCATTGACAAAGCCCGTCGGCAAACGCGCTTGCCAAGAACAGTTGCAACGTCAGTTCTTCGAGGATTGTAGCGCGCCCGCTTTGGAGCCGGAGGCTGTTCATCGTCCGATGAATAGAAAACACCCTCCTCGTGCGGGCTGCTGTCATCACTAGCGCGGCCACATTCCTCATCCGACGCAAGGAAAATCTCTCCGTCAGAGCAACTGGATTCTAGGCATGTTTCAGTGTCCTCCACCAACGAGAGATGCGAACAATTGAATGCCTGCACCAACCAAGTTTCCTGATTGGCCCAATGCCAAGCACTCTGATTCATTGCACAAAGACTGAGATTTCCAGTCAGGCCTGGAAAAAAACATAAAAAGAACTGTTTGCAAACTCCACGTCAAGTTTCCTTCTTCTCACGTGGCAGTCCATGAAAATCTGCTCTTACCTGCTCAATCTGGCTTTCTAACCCCGAGAACTGTTGGAAGCATATGCGAGCTAAGCATCTGCAAGGTCGCCGAATCAACTGCGACAAAGAGGTCCGACCATGGCTGCGTTTCCCTTCCATCTACACAACTGCTTCAAGCAACAGTAATTCTTTCTGACTAAAAGGTTGCACAACTCGATCCCTGAAGCAATGTGTACAGTCTTGAAATTGATAACATTATATAACCACACGGCGTGCGAAATCTAAGCCAAAAAAAGGCATGACAGGGATGGTGCAAGTTGAACATTGCAAGGCGCGCCTCCCGGAACCCAAACCACTCACCCAGGCCTCCCGGAATCTGGTTGAAACGATGCTGCGGGCAGTGTTGATGACCTCGCTCATACCAACTGCCTGGCCCCTCCAGAATGAGGCATCATCAAAAGACCAACTCAATGCGGATGTCTCGAAGGATGCGCCCTTCTCGGGCGGCCAAGCCTGAAAGGGGTAACGATGCGATCTAGAATCTAGTTCAACCAATTGCGCAAAAGGTAATGATGTAGACTTCTGAACTCTTAGTCTCTTAGAGTCAGCTACTTACAACACAGTACAAGAAAATTCTTGGATGTGGTGAGCCTCAATATGGCAGAACTGATCCATGAAATCAGTTTTCTCTGTTGACTCGAGCAGCCCACACTGGCTCGCAAAGTGCGCAGACTTGTCAAAGAGCTGTTCAAAGTCCGAGTGTGCTCGCTGAGCCACTTCTTTGAACGTGCCACCATGCTTGACAGGCCAAGGGTACAGCCCGCCAGTGGGCTCAAGCACATTCAAGTTCTCAGTGTGGATGAACTTGTTTGTGCAATGCCGCAAGCTGAACATGTCGTCTACGATGGAGAGCGCGGTGGTCACAAGGACAGGCGCGCCCGACATGCTGGAAGGAACAGGCACCGTATCGCGTCCCCCAACTATGTCCGGAAGTGAGACCTTGGCCTTCTTCCTCCGAGGAGGCATCCCAACCACCTCACACCCAAAAGGGCGAGCAGCAGCTCAAACTACAATTGAACCTATGCGGCAGGAGTAAGACATTCTATGCTTAAACAAATTTCATTCAATGAGGTTGGCTCTTTCCTTGACCACAAATGCATTTGTTTGAATATATAAGATGTTCATGAACTTCTCTTCAAGAAATGTATATAGGATGATGCACCACCGACGCAAACGATACAAAAACGGTTTTCAGCAAACATGGGGTTGCACTGCCCGTCATCAGTTGTGAATACAACTGAAACTGAACACGCTAATTGATTCGCAAATTGGAGCCAGCAGCTGAAAACCACTGATTGAGCCAGCAGCGAACTGGGAGCTACTGTAGTTGCCTTGGGGTTGATGGAAATCAGCGTCTACCCTTGGCGCCAGCTTGCCAAAGCTGACAGCATAGCAGCAGCAATCACTGGAGCGGAAAACCTCGCCCACACAAGACCAATCCAAGACCGGTGGGTAACATTGGACCTGCTGGAATTCTTTTCTAAAAAAACATATTGTCATCATCATACCAATCCAAGAACATTGCCTCGGTTCATGCTCCTTCTAAATCAAACTGCCAATCAATCCAAGGCACGAATTGCCTGCAAGGTCGGCAAGTTGTCGTGGTTTCAGCGAAGACATGCCATACCTCCGGTATTCATCCATCCCCACTCCTTGTAGTTTCATGCGCTCCTGCCAGTGCGCAGCAAGAATGGTGATCTCAAACCAACCATCTGAACTGTCTATCAACCCCCCGGTGATCAAAAGAAACCCGTTGAACACAAGCGTTTCGAAAAGCCTTGCCTGAGGCTGAAGGAGGCTCCATCGCGCAGAAACAACATACTTGCCCCCAGGTAATAGGCAAGGACATAGTGATGGGTCTCGTTTTGTCCATGTTGCCCTGTGAAAATTTTGATCCTTTGCGAGGTGTTCGGGAAAAACGAAAGTAAGACCATTACTGGAGGAGCTAAACAAACAAAAACCAAAAAGGCACAAAACCTCTGACCAAAAAGTCAAGAGTCCACTTGGATGCAATAATGGTCTTCAAACGGTCTGTAGCCAGCAACCTGCATTTCTGTGACACACACCGCCAAAATTGCGTACTCGCGGTCCGTCAAGGGAATCCCATAGCAACGCAACTTGTCCAGATTCGCCATGACATCAGCCTTTGATTTTCCAACTTCGCTCAAAACAAGATCCATGATCTAAATCTAATACCCATGCCAAAAAAAGACCAGAATCTAAGTTGAGGAACTTCACCAAGTTCTTTGCACCGCTTCTTGAAGCCGCTCTTCCACTTCGTACCACTTTGTGCGCTCTTGCCTCTGTTCGACTCAATGCCTGCGGCCCTGACCGTGGCCGCACCGCTGCAGTCTAAGAACATGCGCACAGGGAGCAGCACACACTTGAAGGTGTTGAAAACATCAGCAGGGAGCCTTCCGGGAAAATCCATGAAGCAACAACTACAACTGCTCCTTTCACCCGCTATCAGACTATCGCTCCATCTACAACTCTTCATCTACTACCCTTTTCCACCCTCAACCGGAAGCATCAAAAGAAAAAATGCGCTTGAAACATATGCAAGAAACTCACGTGCATGCATTTCCGCCCATTTAATGTAAACAGAGTACACCCGTGTGCGGCACTGCCGAAGCCCGAAGTTCTTGCTGTTCACCGTCTGGAAGAAACCAATGAAGCCCCACTTCGCAAGCTCGTTGTTCTGGATCGCGATGGGCTTCTCTCCACCAAACTGTTGCCGGCTGTGCGCCATGGGCCCCACATTCTCGCAAATGATCACTTTGGGGTTTGCGTAGTCCACATAGCTAAGCAATGCTTGGAAGCCCTGGCCACTCTTAGAGCTAGTATCCAGAAAACTCTTGGCCGTGTTGTTCTGTCTGGACAGGGACTTGCAGGAGTAGCCATCCATCACTATGTCAACCTGCAGGGTTTGCTCTCAAAAAAAATATGCCCCCGGGAAGACCCAGAATTCAAACCTGATTGGGTTTGAGAGGTCGAGGTTTTCACCAGCAGCTATTCCCGCCTTCGGCACGGCTGTGTAGTTTTTCGACGTCTCATCAAATGCCCTCCCCTTGCCCAAGTCCATCATGTCGTTGAACACGGGGACATCTGGAAAAGCTCTTCGGAGCCAGTCTACTTTGAAGCGCTCGCATTCGCAGCTGAAGGCCAGAGTCAAGCGCCCACCCTCCAGGGAGAAGACAACACTGATGAGTATGTTGATGTGATGTTTTGGGGGAATGAAGAAGAACAAATGTTTTTTTGAATAGACTTGTTTGGCATCAAATGCCAAAAAAAACATATCTGGACATCGAAGCTTTGCATGCACCTGGAAGCCAAACTTGCCGGCCAAATGCTCGTTGAGCGCATCAATGCACATCTCTGCCACACCCCAACCTGAACAGATTGAGGCCACAGTCGTCTCGCGATTGCTGAGCGCCGTCTGGATGCGGGAGACGATTTCGCCCCGTTGCTCTAAAGCAGCCGTGATAAAGTTTGCTACCTTACTGTCGCAATGATGATTCCACCTTCAGATTCCGTCAGCTAGATTGCAAAATGTCTTTGGGAACCTTGAAGCATGCCCCAAAAAAAAATGTTCTGAGACCTAGACTAGATACCCCCACTGCATCCATGTTAGGAGGCAGCGCCTCGCAGTCTGGGTCTGGCTTCTCGTCGCTGGCCATACCATCAGGCTCAGGGTCTGAAGCACTGCTGGCAAAAACTTCATCAGGATCATCTTGTCCGCCAAGTAGCCCCGCGTTCCTGGGCAAGGGATTTGGCGCAAACCGCGCCAACTTCACGAAACACTTTGAGAGGTTTCCTGAACCCCTATTTCACCCCCTGCGAAACAAAACACCTAAGGCCTGAAACCATCAAAACAAAAAATACAGCAAACTAATTCTAACCCAGTGTCTTCTGCGAAACAGGTTCATCTTCGCTGTCAGAGGCCTTCATCACGTCACTTTCAAGAGCTACTTTGGCTACTGGTCGGCGCTTGGTCACTGCTGGCCGCCGCATAGCCGCCGCTGGTCGCTTTCTGGGAGGCATGTCCACTGCCAACAAACAAGTGGCTTTAAGGCCCGCGGCGTGCGGCTCTGTTCACAAACCGCTGCTGAGGAGGACGCAAAATGGCCACGGCCAGCTCAACAAAAGCTTTTGGAAAATAGAGGTTTCAACTGAAGCTGACACCTTCGATTCAAATTTGCTTCCTGCGTGTGATTCTTTGACTGCGCACAACAAAAATGACCGCCCACCAACCCCATGTGTGAGGGGAGCGCGCAGCAATCAGAGAGCAACTTAACTTACTATAAAAACCACAGGCGTTGAATTGCAGTTGGACGGGCGCACTACTTGTAAATGGTTCAGCCTTAACTTATTCAATTGCAGGCCTTGAGTTGCGGTTGGACGGGCGAATTAATTGTGAATGGTTGGGCCAATTCGAGAGAAGGATACATTTGAGCGCGTAAAGTGTAAAGGAAGAAAGCAAACAGCTTGCCCTTAGGCCTCTGATATATAGGACATTGGCCGTGACATTTGTCCCCTTTTCCTTGAGCCATTAACCATTGACAATGACTTTCCTTGAGCCATTGGCACTCAGTGACACTATCCATGTCAACTGCGAGGTTTCATTGGCGCCCGTGGGGCTGGCAGCGGAGCACGCTAAACACAAGAACATGAAAACACCAAGTCCCATGAAACCACCAAGTTTCACAAGATTGGATTCCTAATAGCGATGGCATCCAACTTAAGAGCGATGGCCTCCAACGTGCTAGGGGTGACATACACAAACCTACTAGCGATGGCCTCCAACCTACCAGCGATGGCCTCCAACCTAATAGCGATGTCCTCCAACCTAATAGCGATGTCCTCCAACCTAATAGCGATGGCATCCAACTTAAGAGCGATGGCCTCCAACGTGCTAGGGGTGACATACAC